GAGGACGGCAGCGCGGAAAACAAGGAGGACAGCGTGGATGAGGCGGGGGAGAGCAGGAAGGAAGACGAGGGAGACGAGGCGCTCGAGGAGGAGGAGGACGACGAGAAGAATGAGCAGAACCAGTAGGACAAGGCGGGAGAGGACAAGGACGACGGGGAGGACGACTGGGAGAAAGATAAAGTGAAAGACACCGTGGAGGACAGTGAGGGGGACAGTAAGGAGGAAGACGAGGAGAAGAGGGACGAGGAGAAAGACGTGCAAGAAGTGAAGGCCCTTAGCATTTGTCGGGACTACGACAAGTACCAAGGTCGATACTTGGGATGGCCTCGCGCGCTGAAGAGGGAGACTGTCGCCAGAAATTAATCTGGGAAGGACGATTTTTTCGGCGGGCCAAAAATGAAGAGTGACAACCGATGAAGCCAAGATCAAGTCACACGTCCTTCGAATCGGTGCCCGGGCAACTCCACGGAGCACACCAGCGGCAGAACTGAAAATGCATTCGAAATCTGGGAAAGCCAGGGCTCGACCAGGATTCGCATGCGGCACACAAAGATCAGGAGCGCGGGCGCCGAACGGTCATTGTATTGTTGTTGATGATGCTGTTGTTGGTGTTGTTGTGGTGGTGGTGGTGTTGTTGCTGCTGTTGTTGTTGTTTTTGGTGGTGGTGGTATTGTTGCTGCTGTTGGTGGCATTCTTAAAGAATTATTCAAATTTACCCCCCCTGAAGCGTGCGTCCTGCATGAATCGCGAGGAAATCTCGAGCGATAGCGCGATTCCCAAGCCAATCGTGAGAAAGGCCCGAGCGAGAGCGTGATTCCTGAGTGTCTAGGGCGCGGCGTCTGAATAAATTGCGAGGAAGTCCCACGCGAGAGCTCGATCCCTGCATACATTGCAAGGAAGTCCCGCGCGAGAACGCGATTTGGGAATAACATGTGAGGAAGCATCAAGCGGGAGCCGTTGTTGTTGTTGTTGCTGTTGTTGTTGTTGTTGTTGTTGTTGTTGTTGTTGTTGTTGTTGTTATTGTTGTTGTTGTCGTCGTCGTTGCTGTTGTCCGGCGACCAACAACGCAGCTTGAGGAGGAAAACATTCCCTGATAAAAACAGGGTGCGAGCCCCAGGAGGGGCACTTCAATCCCACCAGCCCTCTGGGCGCAGGAAGCCTAACGAGATTCCTCTTCCCTCTTTCAAAAAAACCCTCTTCCCCTACGGGGAAGGGTTTGTCACTGTTCCCTATTAATATACACCCCCTCCCCCAGGCGACTGGGAGCCAACCCAAGTCCTTGCGGCCCCCCCACCATCCCTTCAAACAAAAAACAAAAAAAACACTCTGCCACCAGCATCACTTGTAAAAAAAACAATACAACCCACACTCTGTCTCCAAATTCAGGGCATGCGCAGCGAACCCGATGCGGCCTCCCCCCACCATCCCTGCCAAAAAACAATACAGAGTACACTTGGCGGCGGCGGCGGCGGCTGCGGCGGCTGCGGCGGGGGCAACGGCTGCGGCGGCGGCGGCGGCGGTGGCGGCGGCGGGGGCGGCGGCGGCGGCGGCGGCGGTGGCGGCGGCGGCGTCGGCAGCGGTGGCGGCAGCGACTGCGGCGACAGCGGCTGCGGCGGCGGCGATTTGGCAGCGGGGCGGCGGCGCGGCGGGCGGCGGCGGCGGCGGCGGGGCAGCGCGGTGGCGGCGGCAGCGGCGGACAGCGGCGGCGGCGGCGGCGGCGGCGCGGCGGCGGCGGCGGTGGCGGGCGGCAGCCGCGGCGGCGGCGGATTGGCCCCCAATAGCTGCCCATCCAAAGACGACTGCTGCATATGCTGCGGCTCGGGTCAGGCTCGGGTGCTACGTATGTGTTGGGAGGGCGGGTGGGAGTGAGCGAGACGGCTTGCGGGCGGGGAGGGAGACTCTTGACCCCTCCCCCTGCCCCCTCCCCTGTACTTTTTTCGGGGGGGTCGCAAGGTGTCAGGGCGTCCAAAACGGCCTCGGCGAGGAAGCCAACATCATTGGTGTCACTAAGGTTGTGTCCCCAAGTTGGCCTCTTTTGGGGGGGGGGCTGAACCTTATACCATCTCCTCATTTGATCGATGGCCTTCAAGATGGCCCCAAGAGGCCTTCCAAGGCTCCCAAGAGGGCCCCAAGAGAGCCCCAAGAGGGTTCCAAGACATCGAAAAGAGCCCCAAGGGAGCTCCAATACCCTCCCAAAGATGCCCAGGAGAGCTCCAAGCGGCGATGTTGAGGGCTCCTGGGAAGGGGCCGAAATCGAGGACCCCCCATCTTTTGATCGATGCTCTCCTAGATGGCTCCAACAGGCCTTCCAGGGCACCAGCCGCAGCACCAGCAGAGGCAGCAACAACACCAGCAGCACCGCCAGCAGCAGCAACACCAGCTGATGGCTGAGAAATCCCACCAGCCCGTTGGGCGACAGGTGGCTGACGGCTGAGAAATCCCACCAGCCCTTCCCCTCGCCCCCACGCGGCCCCCAGGGATGGCCCGAAGAGGTCTTCCAAGGCCACTGCCTTGCTCCCAGAGATCTCTCGGTTCATCTTGGTTGCTCGCTTAGTTTCCCTATATGTGTCCCTTCGCCCCGTGTTCCCGTCAGCGCTCGTGGGCAGGGCGTCAGGATGCGCTGGTGGGGATACGCGAAGTGTGAAGAATTGAAACAAATACCAAATCGCGCTCTCGCGGAAACTTCCTTTAAGCAGGAAGCGCGCTCTCGCGTGGGACTTCCCTGCATTCAAACGCCGCGCCCTCGTCACTCAGGAAACACGCTCTCGCTCAGGCCTTTCTCAGGATTTGCTTGGGAATCGCGCCATCGCTCGAGCTCTCCTCGCGATGAATGCAGAACTCACGCTTCAGCAGCACACCTTCTCGACCTGGCCGCTTGGGCCCGCCTTCCCGACCCGCCCGTTAGGGTATACCCGCCCGATGGGCCCGTCTGGTCCTGCCACGTGCTTTCTGCTCCCAACCCCCATCCTGCGAATCCCGTGCTCCATTCTTCTCCCTCCCCCTTTCATCCGTCCTCTCTTCCCCTGGTTTCAGGGGCTGCACCAAGTAATTACACGCGGCAGGAAGGAAAGATATACCCCCAGGGTGGTACGATCGAAGACGAAAAGGGCGGGTACCGAGGGTTTGGGATAGACGTGTTGAATGGCACGCGAGCTGGTAAGAGCGAACAGTATTAAAATGACTGTTGGTGCTGCTGTTGCTGTTGCAATTGCTGTTGTCGTTGTTGGTGGTGTTGCTGTGGTTGCGGTTGTTGTTGGTGGTGGTGGTGTTGTTGGTGTTGGTGGTGGTGTCGTTGTAGTTGTCGGCGGTGTTGTCGGCGGTGTTGTCGTTGTTGTTGTTGCTGATGTTGCTGTTGTTGTCGCTGCTGTTGTTGTGATCGTTCGTGTTGCCTGTGCTATGGTTGTTGTTGCTGTTGTTGGTTTCGTTGTCGGTGTTGATGTTGCTGCTGTTGATGTTGCTGTTGTTGTCGTTGGTGTTGTTATGAGTGTTGTGATTGCTGTTGTTGCTGCTGTTGTTGCTGTTGTCAGTGTTGTTGCTGCTGCTGCTGTTGGTGTTAGTTGGTGTTGCTCATGTAGTTGTTGTCGTTGTTGCTGTTGCTACATGCTGTCTGCTGCTGTCATCGTCCTCACCCGCGACTCCATGGCGACCCGCCCGCGACCCCTCCCGCGACCCGAGCCGCGACCCCCCCGCGACCCACCCTGCGACTCACCCCGCGCCCGCCCCCTCACTCTCACCCGCACCTGCGGGGTGCTGCGCACAGGAGACGCCCAGGGGGCCCGTCTAGAAGTCCCCTAGATGAGGTCGGAATAGATGGGGTCAGAGGATCGCGCCGCATCGCCGATACATCGGCGACGGTGATGCGTCGGCGATGTATCGGCGATGCGTCGGCGACGTCGGCGCGGAGAAAATCGGGCTCCACATCGAGCCGCGTCGCCGATGCATCGGCGACGCGGCGCGATCCTCCGACCCCATCTGGGAGGCCCAGACCGTCGGCCCTGGGCAGCGAGCGCGAGCGTGCCCCCGCGGTGCACCGGGGGGGCCGGGAACCCTCTGCAAGGCCCCGGGAACCCCCCTCCACGCCGCCGCCGCCGCCGGCTGGAGGCTCCTGGGGCCGGGAACCGTTGGGCGGGCGCGCAGTGGAGGCCAGTCCACGAGAAACCTTCCACAAGAAACCCAGCCCTTCATCGTCGTCGTCGTCGTCGTCGTCGTCGTCGTCGTCGTCGTCGTCGTCGTTGCCGTCGGCGGACGCGGGGCGTCTTTCCGCGGATGCCCCGTGCGACCGCGACTCCGCGGGATCGCGCTCTGCAAGCCAGACCGCGAGGGGGCGGATATGGATACAGTAGGGACTCGACCACACGAAACCTTCCACAAGAAACCCAACCCTGGGACCCCAGGACGTCTGTTGATTCTTGGTGTGGGAGCGTCAGGCTTTCCATAGCAAAGCCATCGAGACCCAAGAAACCCAGGGCACCGTGGAGGCAAGCAGGGTGCTTCTTGGCATGGGCCCCCACTGTATGATAGCGGGTCGACAGCGGCGAAAATCGCACCCATATCGTTCGACTCTTTTTGAAGATTCCTCCTGTAGAGGGAGACATGCCCGACTCAAACCCAGATCCGAGGAGCGGCCTGAACACCAGGGCCCCTCCTGGGCCCGAAGCGGTTCCGGCTTCCAGCGCCCTGGCCGCAGCGTCTCGCACCGAAGCGTGGCGGGCCGGAACTGGCGGAGCGACACGCTGAGCCGAAGGTCCTGGCCGCAGCCTGGGCATCCTACAGTCGAGGCGTTGACCTAAGGAACCCTAAATAAGGAACGGGGCCCCTTTTTTTCCAGAAGTTAAACTTCGACTTCCCATCGAAAACGTAAGGAAAAATTTTAGGCAAGGTGTGGAACAATGAAAGAACACCGAGCCCCTCCCGAACGCAAGGGGTTCCTTCTTCAGCGCCCCGACTGTACCACCTTGCAGCCTTGCAGCCAGAGATCGAAAGAGGGCGCATGGACCCACGGCGCCGGGAGCCGCCGGAGCTCCTCCTCGCACGCCTGGAACCGGCAGAGGAGGAGGTCGACCTGCGCTCTCCGGTGCTCCCGTAGGTGGTCAAGAAAGTGGAACCCTTGACTCTGCCCCCTCCCCTCCCCCCACCTTCAAAGCTGTTCCCAGACATTCAAGAGCGCAGGCTTAACAAGAGCAACAAAAATGACCCCCCGGGGCATCGACCACGCCGGAGCCCAACTTTGAGTCGGGGGAAGGGGGGAGGAGGAACATGGTATCGACGACGAGGGGGGTCCACTTTTTTGTCCCCTTACCGTCCCCTTGGACCTTCCCCGCCTGAAGCAATGACCATTCCATTATATTTGATTCGTCGCACGGAAGTGCCAGGGCAGAAGGGCGAAAACAGTCCTCTCCTAGTGTTCGGATCATGTGGCAACGCCAGGGGTCGGAAAACATATTGATCTACTCCGCTCGTCACACGGCAACGCCTAATGGGGCGAAGCAATACCAATCCATGATTCTCTCCACGTGGCAGCACCGTGGGCGAAAACGATACAATACTACTTCACTCCTATCCTGGAAGCCGCCCGAACGGGGCCAGAGTACGGTGAGGACATTGGATAAGGCTAAGGGACCTTTGGATAAGGCGTCCAGGGTCTGGAAGCAGGTGGAACTCCAATCGCAGATTGGGCATGGATACCACCGCCGCCCTCATCAAGTAAGGAATTACCCAGGGTCTGAAGCCTCATGGACACACTCCTTAACGGACGCCCCCACCGCAGATGAGGTCGTAAGATCACACTGCGTCGCCGATGCATGCTTGACGCATCGGCGACATCGGAGTGGAGAGGATCGAGCTCCAAATCGCACCACATCGCAGTCGCACCCGCGACGCGTTCCTCGGACCCCATCTGCTCTGACCCCAGTCGGGCGGCCTGGACCTCCATCGCGCCATCCTGACACTCCTCCTCCTCCTCCTCCTCCTCCTCCTCCTCCTCCTCCTCCTCCCTCCTCCCTCCTCCTCCCCCTCCTCCTCCTCCCCCTCCTCCTTCTCCTCCTCCTCCTCCACAATTACTCAATATGAATACTGCTCTCCTCCTTCCCCTGATGACGGGTTGGGACGGTTCGCCCCCCGCGTACTGTTTTTTACACACAGGATTCCCCAGAGTTGGGTTTTCGCCTGCATATATTTCAAGATGCTGCTCTCGCTGAGGCGCCGGCCTCATTTTCGGGCCCCGCTCGTTCCGAATCGTGCTCCCGCTGCAGCGTTGCCCTCATTTCCGTGCTGCCGCTCGTTCCGAATCGTGTTCCCGCTGCAGCGTTGGCCTCATTTCCGCGCTTCCGCTCGTTCCAAATCGTGCTCCCGCTGCAGCGCTGGCGTCATTTCCCGTGCCATGCCACGGCATGCAATGCTAGGTTGCGTTCCGCTGCGCGATGCCATGCCTTCAGCTGAAGCTGTGATATGCAGTGCTTAAGTGCCACGTCGTGCTATGCCATGCTACGCTTTGATCTTCAACGCCATGCTATGCAATGTTATGTTCGGGGCCGCTGTGCGATGCCATGCTTTGCGTTGCAAATCTTTGTGATGCAATTCTTCACTACGCCACGCCACGCCATGTTGTGACATACTACGCTTGGGGGTGCTCTTCTACGCCATGCCATGCCGTGCTCTACAATGCATCGTGCACCCTTTCGGGATCATTGCCCTGCTCGACATCCGACTGTGCGAGTAGAGAGGGGATTTACGCCATGGTAAGGGATGATAGGATGTCAGATATGACGCGGGCGCACCTAGCTTGTCCTCCCCCCCTCCCCCTCCTCCCCCTCCTCCTCCTCCTCCTCCTCCTCCTCCTCCTCATCCGCTCCGCCCCGCCGTCTTCTGCGCCGCGCACCTCGGCCCCGTCACCCCTGGACTCCCTGCCACGACACAGTCGGATCCCTGGGCCAGCAGCACATCCCCCGAGGACAGGAGACCCTCCGTCGGCCAAGGCACACGGGACAGCCAGGGGCACCCTCCCGGAGGACATCCAAGGGCACCCCCCCAGCATGCACAAGAACACCCAACAGACACGAAACACACTGGGGCGCCCTCTCCGAACCGACCTCGACCTTCTGCCTCGGCCTGCCCCTGCCAGCAGACGCGACGACGAAGCAACGAGCGCGGCTATTCCTCTGGCCACGGCGAGCCCCGGGCCACGACCGGCCTCTCCCGAGCCTGGGGCGCGACCAGTAGGCCGGAGCGCTCCTCCTGAGCCTCTCGCTGGATAGTGATGGTGTCGCAGGGCCCCGGCTGCGTGCTGCGCTCTGCGGCCGCCGCGCGAGAGTGCACCGTCGGAGGCGCCCCGAGCTGCGCCTCGGGCACGGGCGGCGCCGGGGCTCCCCAGCAGAGGAGAAGCCGGGGATGCAAGGGCCCGATGCCCCAACTCGCGCGCACACGGTCGACCCGCCACAGCTGGGACGCACGCCAGGGAGGCAGAGTCCCTGGAGTGCCAGGCCGACCCCCTGCGGGCGGGGCGCGCGGCCTGCGGAAGCGGCGCCCTGGGGTGCGCTACTCATTTGCTCCGGGCCAACTATGAGACCGCCTGGGCGGCGCAGCTGGATGACCTTCTGTGGGGCGCCTACGAAGAGTTCGCCGGCTTCGCCTTCGACGCCTCCCAGCGCGAGCAGGCCAGACTGGGATTGGCCGACGGGGGCTGCGCCTTCCCGTCAGCACGGGACACGGCTGCGCGCGCGTACCTGGGCAGCTGGGCCCTCGTCCTCCCCGGCGTTGCCGCTTGCATCGGGGTCACCTCCCTCGAAGGCTTTCGGTCCAGGTGCCCGCGCGTTGCCCGGGACATGAGGAGCGCAGAAACCGAGCTGGACGCCCAAGGGGCGAAGGAGGGCCCCATTAGCTGGGGGAACTACTTGGCAGAGCCACGAGCCAAGCTACAGGGCTACTGGGCCAAGCGCACTTCCGAGCACAGGCGGAGACAGTTGCTGCAAACCCTTGGCGAAGACGACCGGCTCGCCCTCCGCGAGAGCAGCGGGACCTCGGCGGGGAGTTGGCTTCTTCCGCGCCAGGAAGGGGACGCGCCGATCCCTGTTGCCACCTTCCACGTGGGCCTGCGCAAGCGCCTCCGAGCTGACGTCTGCACACCAGTGGCGGCTTGCCAGCACCGCAAGCGAGACGGCACGATATGTGGTGCGCCCCTGGACCCCAAGGGCTGGCACCCCTTGAAATGCGGCTGCGGAGGCTCTCGCGACCACCGCCACAACAGCCTCCGAGACTGGAGTGCGCCCTTCCACCAGGCGCAGACGGGCCACATGGCGGTCACCGAGAAGCGTGTCCCTGCGTGGGACCGTGTGGACCCAGTCACCGGGGAGCTGGAAGAAGCCCGCCTCGACGTGGCTACCCGCGACGCGACCACTGGACAGCCTATCTATGTTGACTGGTCTGTCACCTGCGCACACTCTGACAACCTCGAGCGCAGGTGGGCAAGATCCAACAATGACGGGCTGACCGCGTCGCAGGCGGTGGGCGTCAAACGGAACCGCTACCCCGCCTCGGGCGGCGAGCTGGTCCCAGCTGTCCTGGAGACGGGAGGGCGGCCGGCGGATGAGCTCGTCTCATTTGTCCGCTCGTACGGAAAAGATTTGCCTGAAGCAGAGCGGTCAGCGGTCATCGCCACCGCGTGGCGCCGCATCCAGCGCACGTTGGTTGTGGGCAACGCCGAGATGATTCTCAGTGCGGGCTAAATGTCCCACCAGCACTACGACCACCACGGCCACCACGACCACCACGACCACCACGACCACCACGACCACCACGACCACCACGACCACCACCAGCTGGGCCGCCTGGACCGCCACGGCCACGACCACCACGACCACCACGACCACCAATGACCACCACGATCACCGCGAGCATCACGGCCACCACCAGGCCGGCCGTCAGCATTAAAACCACGACCACTACGACCACCACGGCCACCACGACCACCACGACGACCAGCAGCTCGACCACTACCGGCTCGACCACCACGACCACGGCTTCCGCGGCCACCTTGGCTGCCCGCCCGCCCACCGCGACGGCCCCCGCCCCCCGGCCCCTTCCCCTTCCCCTCCCGGCCGCCCCTGCTGCTCCCCTCCTCCTGCTCCCCCCCACAGAGGGCGCGGGCAGCCTTCGGCCCGCGTCGCATCCCAGGGCCTGCCTCAAGACGAGGCTGGCCCGGGGCGCACTGGACCGTGGACGGTCCCCCTCTGGGCGGCCCCCAGAGAGCCAGTGGGGGCGCCATCCCCGCGACTGGCGAGGAAGGAGGAGGAGGAGGAGGAGGAGGAGGAGGAGGAGGAGGAGGAGGGAGGAGGAGGAGGAGGAGGAGGAGGAGGAGGAGAGGCAGGAGGAGGAGGAGGAGGGAGGGGAGGAGGGGAGGAGGAGGGGAGGAGGAGGAGGAGGAGGAGGAGGAGGAGGAGGAGGAGGAGGAGGAGGAGGAGAAGGAGAGGAGGAGCGAGGGGGAGGAGGAGGAGAGCAGGAGCGGAGGAGGAGGAGGAGGGAGGAGGGAGGGGGAGGAGGAGGAGGAGGCGGAGGAGAGGAGGAGGAGGAGGAGGAGAGGAGGAGGAGGATGCAAAAGGTAAACACCTGGAGAGCAACTCGTCCGTGCTGTGCGGGGCGGGTGGGCTGAGCGCCGCCTGGGGGGGGGGGGGGGGCGACCTCCCAGGGCGCCACGGGCCGGTGAGGGCAGGTGCCCGAGTTAGGGGGGCCACTGCGAAACTACCCCGACCCCCCACGATTTCCGAGGGGGAGGGTGGGGTTCACATCGTTCGGGAGCTCCCGAGCGAAGCGAACCCCACCCTCCCCCTCGGAAATCGTGGGGGGCAGGGGTAGGGGTTGCCTGTGGCCCCCTAACTCGGGCACCGGACCGTGCATCGACAAAAGGTTGCACCACCTCTGCCGCGCACTGGCGCCTGCGCTGCACTACGCTTTTGTCCCCCTTCACCCCCGATCTGAATGCTGGGTGCACGGCGAAGAGCCCTTGGGCCGCCAGGGGGCTCCCGACAAAATGTTGCACCACCGAGCCGTTTCGACCAGCCCAGACTGAACCCAGTACGTATTGAGATTGGGGGGGGGCAAAACAATCCTTTATAGAACAGCGATGCGATCTGTTGTCCGCGCCAGGTGGTGCGACACTCTGTCGATACACTGTGGGGGGACCGAATGCGTCCCTCTCTACCGCATCCTGGGGTCCAGGACAGGCGGCTCCCTGGGCGGTGGCTGCGCGGAAGTCCCGGCCCCCAACAAAGGCACCCCGAGAAGAGCTCCTCGTCCTTCCTGTGGGCGGCCAGTGGCCCCCGCGGCGGCGGCATCCCCTGAGATCCGATGTTCCGAAACAAATGGAGCTGCTGGATTTGGGCAGTCTTCGGCCTCCGGGGGCCCTCAACGGGCCTCGGGAGCGTCAAAAAACAACCCAGGACGAAAAACCGGCCCTGGAGAAGTGGTCTGGACCTCAGTGGGCCCCAGAAACGACAGGGCCGTTTTTTCACCGTTTCCGAAAAAATGCCCCTTGAAAATGGAAACGGCAAAGAAACGGCGACCGGAAACGGCAACAAAAACGGCTCCAGGATTGGAGCCGGAGCGGGAACCCGTAAAAGAACGGCGACGGAACCTGTAAGAAAACGGCGCCAGAACCGGCAACAAAAGGGCAAAACGGAACCGGTAACAAAAAACGGCCCTGTCGTTTCCAGGGCCCACTAAGGCCTGGACCTCCGGGGCCCACGCACCCAAAACTCGAGCAGCTGGGTGCCTGGGTCGGGCCAGGAAAGCCGTCTCCTCCTCCTCCTCCTCCTCCTCCTCCTCCTCCTCCTCCTCCTCCTCCTCACGGGGGTGGGGCCCGAGGGTCTCGCGAGGAGGCTAGGGGGCCTGATTGCGGCGCGCGGAGGCCGTGGGCCACGCACCACGCGGCCCCGCCTCGGGGATGTCGTCGTCGTCTCGACCTCTCCGTGGCGCCAAGGTCTGGGTTCGGAAGAAGCTACGCCCCAGGACGCCAACGTGCGGTGGATCGAGTACCTGTTGGCCTCAGGGGCGATACGATATATCTCTATATATATATATATATATGTATTTATTTTATATATATATATATATATATATATGTATAAAACATACATGTACAACGTACAATACATACATACATACATACATACAGACAGACAGACAGACAGACAGACAGACAGACAGACATACATACATACATACATACATACATACATACATACATGCATGCATGCATGCATGCATGCATGCATGCATGCATGCATATATACATACATACATACATACATACATACATACATACATACATACATACATACATACATACATACATACATGCCATACACCTATACGCAAAGATATATATCTGTGTGTGCGCGCATACATCCATGAAACTGTGTCTGCATGTATGTCTGTGTCTATATGGACACATCCATGCGCACAGATACAGGCGTGTGCGCATACATGTAAACATGATTACATATAAGACACTGAATTACATATATGTACACATGCAGATACGCATAAGCGTGCGTGTGTAAATATATATATATATATATACACACATATATGTATGTGTGTGCATGCATACTAGTCTGCATTGGCGCTTCGCGCCATGCACCTTGGTCCCTCAAGCCTGGCATCTGTTGGCAGCTGGCGCCATGCAGGAGAGAGATCTTGCTTGGGACGGCCTCCATTGGCACACGCCTTGCAAGTCCGAGTGGATCGGTGCAGCTGGCGATTGCTGAAGTGAGTTCGGTCGTGAAGCTCTTCGCAACGGATGCATTGGAGCCGCCTTCGGGCGATCCCGCAGGCTTCTTGGGCCGTCTTGGACGCTGCTACGACACAGAAAACGAAGATGCGAAAAATTCACGTTTTCCTCTGGAAATGGAACGATGCTTACCTCTGATAAGGGGGCTCTCCTGAAGACCTCTTGGGGCGTCTTTGGGGCCTCTTGGGCCGTCTTGGGGGCCTCTTGGGCCGTCTGGAGGCCGTCTTGCGCTGCCGTGGCTCTCCTGGGGAACTGGCCCTCTTGGGGACCCTCCATGGCCCTCCTGGATCTCTCTTGGGAGCCTTTGGGGGCCTCGTGGCTTCTTTTGGGACGTCTTGGGGCTGCCTTGGGGTCCACTTGGCCCGGCTCGAAGCCCTCTTGGGGGCCTCTTGGGCCGCCTTGGGGCTATCTGGCAGGCAAATGGGCCGTCTTGGACGCTGCTACGACACAGAAAACAAAGATGCTAAACATTTATGTGTTCATTACGGGGTTGAGTAATATTTTCCTCTTGGGGGCTCTCCTGAAGGCCTCTTGGGGCGCCTTTGGGGCCTCTTGGGCCGCCTCTTGGGCCGTCTTGAGGCCGTCTTGCGCTGCCATGGGGCTCTCCTGCGTCTCCCCGACCACTTCTCTGATCGCTCTGAGCTTGCTGGCGAGATCCGGCAAAGCGCCCTGGGAGGCGCGGCGGGTCTGGGGGGCCTCCTCCAATGGCGTCCAGTGGGCCCCAAAGCTCCAGATACCAGGGGTCCGGTTTTGGGAGGGGGTGACGGTTACTGTTGTCCTGCCCCCCGGCTTATAACATCTTGGATGCGGAATATATATATATATATATATATATATATATATATATATATATATATATACATACATACATACATACATACATACATACATACATACATACATACATACATATATATATATATATATATATATATGGGCCGCCTTGGGGCTATCTGGCAGGCTCCTTGGGCCGTCTTGGACGCTGCTACGACACAGAAAACGAAGATGCTAAACATTTATGTGTTCATTACGGGGTTGAGTAATATGTTCCTCTTGGGGGCTCTCCTGAAGGCCTCTTGGGGCGCCTTTGGGGCCTCTTGGGCCGTCTTGGGGGCCTCTTGGGCCGTCTTGAGGCCGTCTTGCGCTGCCATGGGGCTCTCCTGCGTCTCCCCGACCACTTCTCTGATCGCTCTGAGCTTGCTGGCGAGATCCGGCAAGCGCCCTGGGAGGCGCGGCGGGTCTGGGGGGCCTCCTCCAATGGCGTCCAGTGGGCCCCAAAGCTCCAGATACCAGGGGTCCGGTTTTGGGAGGGGGTGACGGTTACTGTTGTCCTGCCCCCCGGCTTATAACATCTTGGATGCGGATATATATATATATATATATATATATATATATATATATATATATATATATATATGCGTACATACATACTTACTTACTTACATACATACATACATACATACATACATACATATACATACATACATACATACATACATACATACATACATACATACATACATACATACATACATACATACATACATACATAAATACATACATATATATATACATACATACATACATACATACATACATACATACACACACACATACATACATACATACATACATAGAGACATACATGCATACATACATACATACATACATACATACATTCATACAAACACACACATACATGCATACATACATACATGCATACATACATACAGACAGACAGACATACATACATACAGTAAATACAGACATGCCTACATAGATACATACAAACATACATACATACATACATACATACATGCATGCATACATACATACATGCGTGCATGCATGCATGCATGCATACATACATACATATATAGATGTATGTATATATATATATATATATACATAGGTATACGTATATGTACGTTTACATACAGATTCATGTACAACGCCTCAGTGGGTCAAAGAAGCTCAGCTCTCTGATCTTCGGGACTGACCCCTGGGCCTCACCAGGTGCGCATTTTGACAGTAATTTCGAACCCAGTCCAGTCGTGGCGTCGGGGGGGCTCCTGGAGGCTCAGAGAAAGCAATGAACTTTCAAATTGGATTTGTGACGAACCCAGTCAGACACTGCTGCTGGAACCATGGTACGCCTGCGAAGGGGGAACCGCGTTGTTCGAAGCCCACACCAAGCTTGTAATGAGACATGCCTTCGGCCCGCAATCAACTTCAGGGCGATAAGCAATACGCACATGGCAAAACAGCAACGCGGCCATGTACAATACGATTAAGACCAACATACCAAAACAAACATATGACAATTCTGTTCGCCTCACCCGCCAGCGACTGCCACACAATGGTTCTCACGCGAACGTGCAACTTGAACACGGCGCGGAAGGTTACGGCGCATCGATGGCGCGACCTCCCCAACGGTCTTCTTCATTTTCTGGTCCAGTTTCTTCTTCTGCGCGCGCAAGGTGGCATTTTCCTGACGGGGACGCTTCGGATGCGAACTCCGCGCTGCAGCCCCATGAAACATGTCTGAATGCTCCTTCCATGTTCTTTCACGCATGCACGTGCCACCATTCCTTGTGCAACCATGTCCTGGCTCCTGGACTACGATACGGAACGACAAATGTTTCTCGCTCGGCTTCCGTATGAAGCCAGACAGTGCAAAAATGTTCCAGCTCGAACATCTTCGTCTCTTCGTCGGACAACGGCTGAGAGTCAGCAGTAACGCAAACAGTCGATGCCTCACCCAAAACCCCCCAACCTCCAAGCGCCAGTGAGCGACCTCAAGGCCGCCGTCCCACTCCACTGCGCAAGACCGCCGGCGGCGAGGTCCAAACTGGCCAGGACAGCCCCCCTCTTCAACCGCAAGCAAATAACAGGGGGCCCGGCGACCGGAATCTCTGACTTCGTGGGATTTTCAAAGGGTCAAACAATAGGGTCCCGCTCGGGGGTACACGACGGAAACATCGCCGAGGTATCCCCGAGGCATCGGCGATGCACTGGCGTCAACGGTGCTGTATCGGCGACGTCGGCGTGGAGAAAACCGGGCTACACATCGAGCCGCATCACCGATGCATCGGCGATGCGGTGCGATCCCGCGACCCCATCCGCTCGGACCCCGTTCGAGAAGCCTGGAGCTGACCGCCTTTCCTCCCCGAAAGCCCGAGGATGTACAAATGTACACCATGACAAAGCTGTCACATGACTAAACAAGGAAACGAAAGAGAGGCTACACCTGCCTGGCATCCTTGGAGGCCTGTGGCGGGAGAGGTGCGCGAGCGGCACTCCTCGAGGAGCACTTCGTTCTCCCGCCGCTGCGCGAGGCCAGCGTCCTCCCTCTGGCGCTCGGCCTCGCGGAGAGGGGCTGGCGCGGTTTGTTTTCAGTCGGACCGCACGTGCACCACAAGCGGGGCTCTCCCCCTCCTCCTCCTCCTCCTCCTCCTCCTCCTCCTCCTCCTCCTCCTCCTCCTCCTCCTCCTCCTCCCTCCTCCTCCCTCCTCCTCCCTCCCCTCCTCCTCTCCCTCCTCCTCCCCTCCCCATCCTCCTCCCCTCCTCCTCCTCCTCCTCCCCCTCCCTCCACCCCTCCCCCTCTCCCCTCCTCCTCCTCCTCCTCCTCCCTCCTCCTCCTCCTCCTTCCTCCTCCTCCTCCTCCTCCTCCTCCTCCTCCTCCTCCTCCTCCTCCTCCTCCTCCTCCCCCTCTCCCATCCTCCTCCATCTCCTTCTCCTCCTCCGCCTCCTCCTCTTCCTCCTCCTCCTCCTCCTCCTCCTCCTCCCCCTCGGTTCGGTTCGGTCGAATGGCGGAGAGTCGAAGCCAATGATGGTGAGAGATAAGGCGAGAAGACCGCTGGGTGAAGAATGACAGCAGGCAGCAACAGCAACCGCGAAGGTGGACTGAACTGCCTGGCGCTCTTGGCGCAGCCTGCACCTGTAAGTGCAAGCAGGGGTACTATCACTTAAAGCTGATGGACACTTAAATACGGGAAAAGGGAAAGAAAAATAGAGATGGATAAGGAGAGCCTTCCCCCACGGAGTGAAACCAGTTACTGCCTGTGGCGAAGCTGGGCGATAACGCCGAGCATGCTCTATCGTTACTGCCGAGAGGGCGGCGCACCCTGCGGAGCCTGTGGTTGGGCTCGGCATTCCTTCACGTAGAGCCCTTCACTGAAAACACAACGCTGCTGGCATAAGGCAAGCAGCTCTGCAACTCAACAATAAATAACAATAATAAACAAAAACACAACACAGGGAAAGAAGAGGGAGGGCCGGTGCACGTCACAAGTCGGGATCCGTGGCCGTCCGATGCAACATACAATCCATACTGATGCCCTGTACCAGGTAAGGGTCCCACGGTGCCGAGAACTGTCGTAACCCTGTCGGCACACTCCACCCGTCACAAGAATCGCCAAGGTCCACCAACGCCCTTAACGCTCGTTCGTCGTTGAGGGTCCACGCGAGTGGTGGCCTGACAGCAGTAGGGGACGAGGGAGGAGGGTGTCCAGGGCCCTGGCACAGTTCGGGGAACCTAGAGCGAGTCTCCTCAAGGAAGCTGGCAGCCAAGAACAAGCACAGGCGACTCGGGTAGGTCTTGAGGTGAGCAGTGCGCCAGAGTCCATCATTGCCTACCCCCCAGGACCCCCTATGTGGCCTCGCGTGTAAGCATCTACCACGGCCTATCTTGGCCTCCAGGATGGCCCCCATAGCAGGAACATGAACCGCGAGGAGCGTAGTGGGTTTCAGCCCCTGGCCCCCGAACATGCACTGATGGATGTGGTGAGCCTTAACCCCAGGGAGCCCCTCAAGCCTGCGAAGTTGGGGAAGCAACCAGGAGCTGGGAGCCTCAGGGACACGGGTGTTAAGGGAGGGGTGCTCCATCAAAGCGGGGATCCCAAACGTCCAGGCCTCGTAGAGAAAACGGATGGTGGTGCGTAGGAGAATGTTTCCGAGCCGCACCTGCTCGCGCTCTCTGGCATTGAGGTGGCCTAGCCCCCATAAATGCTGGGCGGAACGTAGGGGGCGGGGTGGCTTCCTCCCTCCAGGGGCGTCCTCGGGGACGGGCAGGTGACGAGCCGGGGACCATGTCTCGCACGGGGGGCCAGCGAGAATTCCAGCGACACGCCCCGATCGCAACATTAAGGACCACAAATGAACGGTGGCAGGAGCAGTGAGATCGCCGTGCGTTGCATGGTTAGCAACGTCAATGCTAAGCACATAAACATTAGTGGGCAGGTCCTTTATCAAAGCTTCTAAATGCCACTGGAAATCTCGCTCTCGCCTGAATCCTGAGAACAGGTGTAGAATATACTTGACTGGCCGAATGGGCAGGGGCCGAGGGGAGAAAGCGGAAGGGTCAGGCGGCGGAGGGGGAGGGGGGATCTGAAGAACTGGGGCCTCAAGCTTGGCCTGCCTGCGCGAGACAACGATGCGAGGTCCAACTGGCGGTCCCTCGAGCTGGACGGGGGGGGATGACGCAAAGTTGGCCGGCCTCCCCTTCGATCGGTTGTCGGCTGAAACTCGGCGAGCTTCTTCACGTGCCTGTGCCAGCTCGTCTTGGCGAGCTGGACCTGCTGCGTAGCCTGACCTGCTCCAAGACACGCGACATGTGGGGGCATTACGAAGATGCTGGGTGAGTCTTGCTACATCACTGAACTGTTTCAGGCATATCTGGCAAACAGAACCTACTGCAATGGCCGTCGGGGCCTCTGGTGTTTTGTGAAATTTCCCCATGTGTGCCAAAAGGGCCTGCTCACTAGCTGTGGTATGAACACAATGGGGGCACTTAAGGAGGGGGACCGATGGGGGTGCGTCGCAAAGGGGGGTTCCTTGAGCTGTAGTTCGGAGCTCTCTCTCCCATAAAACTCTGTGCATGTCGTCCTGTGCATGTGGCTTAGCATGACTAATGGCTGAGCTAATGAGAGAACGGTAGGCACGGGGATTATCCAGAGCAAATCGGACTAGTCCCTGCGATGTGGTGTCGGTAGGGCGGCGGGCTGGGTCAGTGTGGAACAGAAGCCAATCATAATCCGCCTGTAGCTGGTGTGCCCACCCTCGTGGATCATCCCATGTTATATCTACTAGGACCCTAATGAGTGGGGGGGCATGGGTGAGCATGCGTGCAAGATAACGGAGCCTCGCAATGGTCATGACAACGGCTTGCGAAGATCTCTGAGTGTCAAACAAGACCTGAGCAGAAAGAGCGTGATCATTGGCGTTGTTGGTGCTTGAAAGATTCAACGCCGCTCGGTATACCGCCATGTGCGCCGTGCACATATGTCTAGCTTGGGCGACAGTGATGGTGGGCCAAATGGCCACTGCATAATGCAGGACCGAGGAGGATAAAGCCTCAGCATAAAGCACTTTAGAGCGTAGTGAGAGGCCCTCGCTCGGGCCAATGGTGGCCTTGATGGGCCTGAGGGCGGCGCGGGCCTTGGCACAGCGGGCGGTGACTTCAGGAGCCATGCTGCCAGATGCAGCAATTTGAACCCCCAGGACCTTGTGAACCTGGACGATAGGGAAGGCAAAACCCCAGCGCACAGACACGACCTCCGCGACCCCGAAAGAAAATCCAGGGACCCCGCGGGACCCCACGCCACGCAGAAACACAAGTAACTTGGTCTTGGCGGCATTGGGGCGAAGCCCTAAAGATAGGCAGGATACGTACACTGCCTCAGAAAGGGCCAACGCCACTGTGGGCATGTCCTTTGCCCTTTTGACATACAAGGTGACTGTGAGGTCATCAACGAAAGAGAGATCAGGCTGAACATTGTCCCAATCACTTTGAGACGAGCAGAATGGTTCTGGCTGGTCAAAGACGTCCCTCACTGAGGCCGACAGCTCACCGATGGCCTCACGGATTTTTAGTAGGACGGACCTGAAAACCAGATTGAAAAAATCGGTAGCTAAGATAGTCCCCGGCCTGGTGCCCCCCCCTGGGAGGACGTAGCCTTGGGCATTGCGAACTTGCCAAAACGTGCCTCTCTGGGACTCCTGAATGAGTGCCAACAGGTGAGCAGACGGGACATGTGCTTCCAATGGCTTGCTGGCTGCCAGCATGACCTTGGCACCCTCTAGCAAGATGGGGGGAAGCTGAACTTGCTGTAAGGCGTCCTCCAATTTTTCTTCCTCGCCCGGCAGTGACAACGCAAACTGTTTGATGACGCTGTAAAATGCGTCAACCAAGTCCAGGGAGAGGATGAGGGTAGAAACCTTGCGCTTGTGTGCAGCGATGCTGGCTAAATGCAGGCCGTGCACGGCCATCTCAGGGCCTTTGTGAGCAACCCCTCCGCACTGCTCATCAAGCAAGCACATGGTAAAGAAATCTAGGGCAAGAGACCGTATATGTCGGTGATCTAATTTGCAAATAGTGCTAGCCATAGTAATATTGCGCTGAGCCTTGGCAACCTGTGGGGGTCCCGAACCTTTGTAAAAGAAGGTGACCTCCCCCATCTTAAAAACAATGGGTTCCCTAGCAGCAATGGCAATCTTGGCCAGCAGTGGGCACAGGGCGGAGGCGAGAGCACGGGGAGCAGCACGTAGCAAGTCAGGAGGAACCCCATCAGGGCCAGGGGACTTGCCTACCCTGATGTGCCGTATGACATGCTCTATGTCCACCACTGATGGGAGAACCCTGGGCTCTCGGTCGTCCTCCACTCGCAGGAGAGCTGGTAACCTGTTGATGTCTTGGACGACCTCTTCAAGGGTGGCAGCACGACCCAACTCCACGGCCTGAAAATGGGCTTGCATGTGCTGAGCGACATCGGCCTGAGACGTCAGTAAACGATCAGGCGCAACTGAGCCCGTGCGCTGGGCTTCTGCAATCTCTCCCTGGGTGGGGGGGGCTACCATCATCGGTAGTGCGTCCTGAACGCGTGAAGCCCCCTTCTTTCTCCCCCCAGCTGCGAGCAAAGTATTGACATGGTTCCATTGGGCCTTGGGCATGCGGGCGTCGACAGACATATTTATTTGGTCGGCCATTTTCTCAAGAAACCAATTCCTGTCGTCGTGTAGAATCTTGGATAAGGTTGCCTTGCTTCTTAGCTGGAAGCTCATGACTGCGTCGGCAAAGGCATGTGGTGCGATGAGAAAACGACGAAGCTGCTTGGCTGCAAACACGAGAGGGGCTGCTGCTTTCCTCATGTAGCCAGAGAATCGCTCGTCATGAGCAATCGCAAGATCGCCAGCTGTAATACGCTTTGCATAATGAAAAAGGGAGAACGCAAGAGAGCGAGAGTGTTGCTGGGATGGTGGCGTTTCGCTCGGAGACTCAGCGTGTGAAGGGGCGTGCCACTTGCGTAGGGCCCTAGTGGCCCCTCGGCGCCAACTAATGAGGTCAATAGCCTGCGAGGACACGTGC